ATCCGGGGTTCCCAGTACCCCCCCACCCCCACAACGAAAAACAGCCAAACAAGTGCCGTCCGATTGTTTTTTGTTGTGTGACCTTCCATCTCCTACATTTCCTAGATGAGAGCTACCCGCACGCACACACACACAAACATTTCTCCAAAACTGGCTGGGTGCCAAACACGTCTGGGAAACAAGAAATGACCCATCTCCCAGGTGTTGGCTTCTTTTTGGGTAAATTCCAAGCTGAAGAATTTGACTCGAGCAAGTCGAGCATATTTTAGCCTATACTGTGGATGGACGAAATGTTGCACCTAAGAAACCCTGGAATGAGTTGATTCGCATGCAAATGCCAAAAAAACATGGTTTCAACTAGTGGTGAGAACGGATTTCGCCCATCCACAGTAGCTCGGTTGCGTTCTGCTCCCCTGCTAAAAGCTTTAACTTTAGTGGTTTAACGGAAAACCCATGAGTTGGCAAAAAGTTGTTCAGTCCTAACATCCCTTGGCAAAGTGCACTAAAGGTAGGGCTCAAAAACGGATTTCGTCCATCCACTACTGTTGTACCCATCTCCTTGATTCTTTCCTGGCACCTTTTCTCTTAGATCCTTGGCTTGAAGTGGCACTCTTCGGCCCTGCGGGCTTCCGGGAGAGTTCTCTGAGAGCCGGGCATGTCCGTGGAGAGCTTGATGGGCGGCTCATCCACGCGCACCTCCAGGATCCTGACGGGCCGGCGGCTTTTTTTGGGGCGCTCCGCTGCATCCCATGCAAAGTTGGGAGGGGAGGTGGTTTGGTTGGGGGGGGGGTTGGGGGGGAGGGAGTTGGGGGTACACAGAAAATGCGATGTTCAGAGCTTCTTTCATGTCTACAGTAAGACCTAAACAAATAGGACATGTTTGGAGACAGAAACCACTAGACGCAGGGGTTGAATGGGATGCCTTTTCTAGCCACTATAGAACGTATAATCTTTGGGGGTAGCGGAACCACGTTGGAGCTGGCCATAGGTTTCGCCAAGCTATAAACCCCCGCTTCCTGTCGACCATCTCGAGTCAAGATATGGAAGCGTAAGGTTCTTGAGGGTAAGTCACCAAGGCACCAAAGTCAGGATGCGACTGCATCTGGATCAAACATTGCTGCTCAACGACAAACAAAAACCATTTGCTGGGGAGCACCTTCAAAACTGGGACGTACATCCCCGGGAAGTGATGTCCACCCAAAGGGGCATCATCGTCCAAATCAGCCTCAACTGTTTTTTGTTTGTCTCCAGCAGGAGGAACCCATGGGGGGGGGGAATATTGGTTCCTTCAAAGCAGACCCAACAAGGCACCCAAGCATACCCAAACAGGAGCTTCGAATTCTCTGGAACGGTGGACCAAGAGAGTGATTACTAGGTGGATGGTGGCTTCCCCAACAAGAACTAATTCACAATGTTGGGGAAGTCGCCAAGGTCCTTTCTTCTAGTGCTGTTATGTCATGTTCAATTGCTTCTATGTCATCTCTTCGTCCATCGGTTGGCCTCTGTCCTACATTAGGATAAAGATCATGTTGGGGAACGAAGAGAGCCATCACCTTCTTCCATCTTTTCCTTGTCTCCCAACTTCTGTGTTACAAGCCACTTTTGGTTGGGAAAGGAAGGTGTTGGAATGAAGGTGTTGGAATGAAGGTGTTGGAATGAAGGTGTTGGAATGAAGGTGTTGGCATCAAGGTGTTGGAATGAAGGTGACCAAATACAACAACAACCGCCGCACATCTCGCGCAGCATTTTCTTTCCCCTTTCGCGAAGATCTGATCTCTGCGCTGGACCGTCTTCAGATGGAGCTCCCAAAGGAGACGCTTCCTGAAGCGCTAAGAAGTCAGGAATATGGGTGCAACTTTCACCTTGGCTTAGAGGAAAACTAGAAGGGACACCGCCATGTGGGTCTTCCAATTTGACACATGCCCTGGCTTTTCTCAAGGCCGGAAACCAACCAGGAGGGCGGCAGTCGTCAGCTTCCATTGACTCTTGGAAAATGAAGGTGGTTCCCCCAACGGGCAAATTTGGTTACCCCTCGAGGTGGTTGCTCCAAAAGAAAAGGTGCTTACCCCATTTGTTGTCCGGGGGAGACAATTTCGAAGGTGCCCTGAAGCCTGGGGAGGGGCGGGGGGGCAACCGTGACAAAGCGTCTTAGTTGCCGGTGTTGGTGTGCCTCAAAAAAAACGAGCCCCACAGCGAGCAGTTTTGCTTTGGATTCCAGGGTTGCATAAGCCCAAATACGCACCCTCAAAAAGCGACAAACCCAATCATAGTGATGTCATGTCCCTGAAATCAGTTTTTGGGTGGGTGTGGGTGGGAGGGTGGGTGGGGGCGTGGGGTGGGGGTGGATGTGGGTGCGGGTGTGTGTCGCTGTGGGTGCGTGTGGGGGTGGGTGGGTGCTTCCCTCTCATTGGCAGTTTGGGTTGGTGGTTTGGAGGTTCGGGGTGCCCATGTTCAACAAGCCCAAAACCAACCAAGGGTACCCTGCTGTCTCCAATTGCAAAAACCACAAGGACTATAGTGATAACTGGGACTCATTGGACAGCTACAAAGCGAACTAAGAGGTCAGTTGCAATGAGTCGGGCTCCAAGATGTGGGCATCACGTGGTCACTCCCGTCTTCCAACGACATAAACTCGACAAATCCTGAGCCACAAGGATCGAGGAAAGCAATCGGTCTGTGAACAGAACACCATTCTGGGGTTCATTCTGTCCAAGAGATGGGTGCCCTTTGTCGAAAGTGCCTGTTTCCAGGCAGCTGTTTCCAGCTTGCGCTTCTTGTGCGTGCGAGCGGCTCTTCTGGCGTTGCCGTCGGGTCCTGCAGGTGGCAAAACATAGGTAGGTTTGTTTGGGATACCTAATTGTGGTTGGCTCAAAATGGTTAACCACGTTCCCAAGCACTAGGCACAAGCCCTTTCAACTCACAACCCATGAAGACTGTCCCTTTAGTTTCCATGTCGAAACAACCCGAATGAGGTACCCTTTAAACAAACATACCCAAATGAACCCCTATACAGCATACCCACTGAGTACGTCTCAAATGCAGGCCCTCACTTTGAAGGAAAAGGACATCAACTACCTGGATGGGGTGCAATTTCCAACGCACCCCAGTGGAAATAAGAACAAACATGCAACAGATCGGGCCCAAGAAAAAGCACCCTACGTCGAGCTCGAGCTGGGTGAGAGCGCGGCCTGGGAATAAAGCGACTCGATGCTACTGTGCAGTGGACATGTAGCAAAATAGGGCACCTTCCAAAATGGCTCCGCAAAATCAACAAAGAGAGAGAGAGAGCACACGCACAAACACACATGACGCCCCATGCAACTGATGTCTAAAGGGTCCAACCAATTGTACATGGCCGCAAGTTTACAAACAAATTGCTGGTCGGGGGAAATGCAACGAGAAGGCCCTTGGCGTGTCTTGGAAGGGACTGCTACTTTTCCCTTGGATTCACCTGAAACGACCCCTTCTCGGTGACATGCAGTAATGGTTCACCATCAGCCACGTGTGTTCACCATGGGCAACGGGCAAGCGGTGTGTGCTCCTGCATCAACCGGGGGTCCACCATCAAGGTGTCAAAGACGTGGTTGTTCATAAAGCAGGCAGTGTTGTTGAACCTCCATCAGACTCCCCACATGCATGTCGGTGACTTGTCCCCCACGGAATCCCAGTGGCAACTGACCTCACAGAACATCCAATGGATTTACAAAACTCAAAACATGCCATGAACCGATAGAAACCAGTGAAAACCAGCGACATACTAGGGGTTATGAAAAACAAAAATCAACACAAAAAAACAAACACTGAAAACGCTGAACCTCTCCACACCGCAACTCCAATTTGCCGAGCCCTTCTTCACCGGAGTGGGTAAGCCGGAAACCTCGGTGTCCTACGCCATTGGGCAGTGGGCCACTTTTTATTGTGCTTGCGCTCAGTAGGGAAATGTGGGAATGAACCTGGGGTCCCCTTAAAGGAAACCACCAGTTGGATGGTGCTGCATAAGGGGCATTCCCTCAAACCCTACTCAGCGACCGAGACAACTTAGTACAAAAGAGCAACACAGACGTGGCGAGCGAGACTGCTCTTGTTGCCGTTGTTGTGGCTGGCGTCCCACTTCCTAGGGAACGAGTAAAACGTTCGTGTCCCTTTGAAAATGAGAGACATCTACGCGTACCAATGGGCTGACCTGCGAACCGAAAGTGCATCTGGCAAGCATAAGCGCCAAGGAGAAATAGGTCTAACTTTAACAGACAAAACACAATGCTTCATATGCGAGGAGGAGCTTATGTAGTGCCTGAACAATACCTTGACAAACACGTTTACGTCAACTTCGGAATAATCCGGAGGAGTGTGCTTTAAAGGGAGACCTCCCTGATTACGTAATGTTGACCCTCGTTGGATTAATCAAACCCGTCGGACTGATGCGAGTGTATCCACCCTTTAAAAACCACCCCTGATGGACCCCTGATGGACTACGAATCCAGGTTTACCATTGGGTCTGGGATTGATCCCAAGCATTGAGCGTCCGCTGTTGGACTGGGTGGCATTCGACCAACTGCCCGTTTTGGTCGCAAATGAGAGACCATCACCTGCCATGAGCAAAGTGCGAGGGTTTATCTCTTCCCCCCCTCCTGCCCAAACACAAACAACTGCAAGATTTCAATCGTCAAAAACCACCTTCAGTTGCTCATCTCAAAAAATGTAGCCCCTAGACCCCGATTCAATAATTGCTTCCTTTGTAAAACCGCCCCAAACCCAAATACAAGACGGCATGATCAAACTCCCCCTTTCCGAGGTCTCCACACTTGACAGGTAGAACTTGGTCCACATCTGGGGTACGCAAATGGCTGTGGCTCAAGAATCCGGCACCAAAATGGAACCCTGGCAAGTGGCAACATGGGCTGCAACACCTGATTCACCCCTGCCGTTTAATTTTGAGCCACACCCAAATGACATTTTCCGACTGAGACCCCAACGGTCAAAGTGCAAAACCCGAAATCGGCCTACGCGCCCAGCGCGCATCCAAGGCTTCGCCGCTGAGTTCGCCGTCTGCGAGGTCCCGGCGCAGAAAGTTGGCCTGCACCGTCAAAACCAAGGCTTGGCGACCTCTTGATGAGTTTGTTTCTTTTGTGCTTTAGCTTTATCATTATTATTACTATCATTATTATTATTATTATTATTAGTAGTAGTAGTAGTAGTAGTAGTAGTAGTAGTAGTAGTAGTAGTAGTTTTGCGTTGTTATTTGTTTAACATCAAAATAGCACTTGACATCTGTCTCCCACAGCAAGTTCATGCAAGTTCACTCCAAAATGGAGTCATTCACGTCAAGACATGGCATATAGATGGATTGCATTTGAACCCCATCTCGCCATTCGTGCTCCATGTATCAACTCAAGACTGCGCCCAATGCGCGGAGCCATCGAAACCGCCCGAGACTTGAGACAAATGGTGTCTCGTTCTTGACCCGTGGAGACATCGCTACGCGCCAACATCGCTACACCCGCCAACTTGAAACAAGAGACGCCAAATTCCAAATTTCTGGACCCCAGTCCAGTGGAAGCTCTATGGGACAAGTTGCACTCTATATATGTTGCAGTCTCACTTTCTGAGTGGCCTGGCCAAACAAGCGTTAACTTTTGGTTTGCCACTGAACTGGTCCAAACCCAAAAAGTAAACTTGCAGTAAAGTCCCATGAACTCAGCAAGTGGGTTGAGCTTTTTCAGGAACCCCCCTCAAAAAACAAGGACAGGAGAAAAACAAATCCCCCTACCATAAGAAAGAGGGGGGATGGTCGCATTCCATTTTCTCTAGTCTTTTTCCTGGGACAATCCAATATATGGAAATTCAGGGCTTGAACTCCCTGGACCCGGTGAATTTACCAAAGCCCACCACTCACTCTGAGGTTGCCGGCGCCCGCCCGGGTCCTGCCTTCTCGCAATCGCCTGCGGAGAAAACTCGACCGTTGGGTCGGGTAATGTTGGATAGCGATTAGTATTATGGGAGTGAAAATTGACCCTCCCCAATTCGTTTGAGGGGGGGGGGCCCTTTACTAATCACTCTCCAACATTAAACTCAAGTTGGCGCACTTAGATGCTTTGCTCCCGAACGAAATGATCCCAAGGCTTTGTTCACCAATAACATGCTCTCCCAGCTTGGAGAGTGAGATTTGGGCGTGCCGTTTTCGTAGACTCTTGGGTGCTTTCCAGCCAAACCAAAGGGCGACCACAAATTTCCGGCATCCCCTATTTGTCAACAACACCGCTAAACCAAAACCAAGACCTTGTTTCTGCAAAACTGACACACTGAAAGGTGCGCCGTCCTGAGAAACGTGCGCCATATGCCATCGTGACCCTTATCAGCGAGCGGGAACTCTTGGTGCCGAGCTGCGCCCATCAAAGTCAACCATGACGTAGTGCTCATCCCTCAGTCGACCGAATCCTTCCTGCAGCATTTGATCCTCTTTTCGAAGTCCAACGCATAAGTTTGTCTCAGGAGAAACCACCCTGATGTCTTGGCGTTCCTTCGAACAACTTCCAAAACGGGCGCCATCAAAACAACATACACACCCATATGCCCTGTTGGAGATACCACCAGGGCTTGAGGATAAACGTACAGCGTACCAATGACAGATGCACCCTACGAAGCGCAATCTGAACTTGAAGCCGGGAATCTCTCCATGGGCATTGACACACTCCTTGAGATCATCCTGAAAGGAAACTGGGCGTCCTCAGATCTAAGCCCTAAAAACCGTTCAACACCTAAGGGATCGCTGGGGATTCGAAAAAATGGCAACCAACTGGCGTAATGCAAGCAAATGGCAGCCAGGTTGCAAAGACGTCTTTCCCACACACAGCATCAACCTGGGGCCCTCCAAAGGGACATTGATTCCGTCCATGCTACCCTGGGCTGCAGATAGACCAAAATCCCTGCATCAGTTGGTAGGTGGTTTCTTGTGGATGGACACAGTATGGTAGGAGAAAGGGTTCAACCACTAAGAAAGAAAAAAGTAGTGACCCCTGAGTCTTCCGGCGAGTATGGCTGTCGTCCAAGTCTCAGAACATCCACAACGGCTTGCAATGAGCATCCTTCTCCGGTCGCCTGCATCGCCACGTAAAACCAGCTCTTACCTTTTTCATCTGATAAGCCAAACCCTGGGGGCCAGTGAATTTTGAGGCCATGGGCCATAGGCCATGTCCCATGCTTCCCATTGAATTGAACTTTGGGCGGCTTTTGGGCCTGGAGATCGATTTGGGCCGTGCCTCAAGAAACTTCCCTCACGCCGACAGCCTCGCCTTCAAACCCTAGCCAGCTATGGCTCCATTTGCCTACAGCTCAGAATGCCCATCGACGAGTTTGCACCGGGGACCCGGCCGGGCGCTCGTGCTGCTTCGTTTCTTGTTGAACTAACACCCCATGCGTTGGGGTTTATAATAACTAGGTAATAGGTACTTATACATATTCAGATGTACAGTGCGCGTATATAAATTGTGTAGCATTGGCCATAAATACATATATGTATATATATATATATATATGTGTTGCACTTTCTCCACGGACAGTTCCTGAAACCGAACATGACACAAGCGAAACCGCTGCCTCAAAGGCATCCTCGTACCAGTCCCCCAGCTGCCGCATGGTTCCTAGGCTGCGGCACAGGCTCACGCGCGCGGAAAATGATACGTTGCGGGAGTTGTTTTGTTTCAGGGAGTTGCTATTGTTTTTGTCGTTTGGCAGATGGTTCTTCATGTTGAGAATTCGTACAAACAGGGTGGGGAACTCTACTACGCTGGGTCCTCCAGTACAGAGGTTAGAAGAAGGGACCCCTTTTTCTGTAGTCTATTGTAGTAGAGGAACCCTGCCCCCAAAAATGGAAAACAAAAACACTACTGGGGGACCTACGGGTACCTTTTGGGCGGTCAAGGCGAAAAGACGGGAAATGATTACCACAATTGTGTGTGTCCCTAGTTTGAGACCACGTGAAACATTGGCAGCACAAGTTGTGGTCGATTGATCTGCCTGCATTACGAACAGTCAGCCTAAGAGGTCCCATATGGCCATGGCGTATAGAATCAGCCTGTGCGGTGTTTCGGGGCTTGACGCAAAGGCTCGCTGGAGTGAGGGCTACAGAGTCCTTCCAATATATATATTATATATATATATACCAGTAAACCAGAGTGTCCTTTTGGCTTGCCTTTCCTATCCAAGCTCCCCTATGCTTGGGAAGCCATTTTGGGTTTCCCTTCAAGCACCTTCATGCAGGGGTCTAAGTTATAGGGGCAACCCCAAGTCGGACTGCTCAGGGCAAAGGGTTTGTCTCCAAGAGCCCCACATGGGCTTCTGTTGCCCTAGGCAACCCGAAGAAAGCTTCGGTTCCTAATGCACCAAAGCAAGAACCATAATGTTGACCCAGGATTCATAAACCTGTCCCATTATTAGGTCCCTCCAAAAGTGATGAATCCCCGCTAAAAGGGGACACCCCCCTATTAAATATTAATCAACCAGGGGTTTATTAATCTGGGGTCAACAATATTTCCGCTGCGTGTTGCGTGTGTTAACGGTTGACACTGCCGCGAGTACTAACTACCCCCAGGCCCAATTCTTCGCCAAACACCTGGCCTCGACAACGTTGGCCGCTTCTCCTTTTGATTTGCGTGACGTTAAAGCCTCGAGGTGGCGTGGCTAAGGTTTTCATGCCCTCAAGCTGCATGCTGATGTTAACCCCGGATTAATAAACCCCTGGTTGATTCATAGGGTGTCCCCTTTTGGTGGGTGTTCATCACTTTTGGAGGGAACAACACCTTAATACTGGGACGGGTTTATCAATCCTGGGTCAACATTAGCGTGCTTCAGATATACCACGGTTGTTCACACAGCCAAGAGAACCATGCGCTTTGAACTAAGGGCTTGGGACATGCCGACGGCATGTAGAAGTTTTCGCGACGTGGCGATGTAACCGAATTGCACAAGTGGGAATATCCTCACAGCTCGCAGGCAAGCGCCTTTTCGCCTTTCGGCCCCTTTGAGCAAAAAAGTCGGACCCTACAGAAAAGTTGTACATGGGCCGCTTGATCTCCAAAAAAGGGGGTCTCCCCTCCGTTCCATGGAGCCCACAAGCCCCCCACCCCCCGCCGGCTCGAGTCGGGGACCTTTTGCGTTCCAAAACTTGTGGGTCCCTTTCTTGTGGGCAATTAGACTTTCACAGATCAAGACTTTCTAAGACCCAGGCGGCTCTGACACCTAAATTCCCCTTCCCCAACGCGCACAACGGAAACAACCACAGAACACAAACTTCGGATTGGTAGCACCTTCTGTTTCAAAAAAAAACTCCAGGCTCGAATCCACTCAAGCCTTAACCCCCCACTTCTTTTGCAAAGAAGGCTCAGGGAGCAGTTTGGATTGGCCCCCCCTCCGCCAAAATGGGTGGCTTCTTAACCGGACATCGATGTCCGGGCCACTGGGGCGGTACACCAAGGGCGGTGGCACCACATGCCAGAAGATGGCACGCACCGCACGGGGCCGGAAGCCGCCTCACAGCGCAACCAACCACGAGGAGGAGATTCGAAAACAGAAAATAGTTCGCGAAAAGAGAATGTGGAAAGCAAGGCCCAGGGTTGGGAGGAGGATCAGGGGAGCTTGGGCCAGTGGAATCTGTTTTGGAGATGGTTGATGTTGAAATCGTATGCATTGGCACTAGAAGTCATCTCCTTCCGTGGAGAGTTGAAATAGTGGAATCATCCCCTTCACGAAATTATTGCTCTTGCGTAATCTCCGACCAATTAATATGGAACCCAGTCGAAAAATCGTGGTTTGGACAACTTTCCTTTTAAAGGGACCGGGCCCCTGTCAGGTTCCGTGTTGATTGGTGAGAGGGAAAAGTTGTGTAATCACCCCCTTTCATGGTACTACTGTGGATGGACGAGATCCGGCACCACCTAGAAAACCCTGGAATGATGATTCCCCCGCAATTAATTACCAACCAACATTGGTTTCAACCATGCATTCATTTCGTGGTGCGAACGGATTTCGTCCGTCCACAGTATTGCTGTTGGGCGTCCGTCGTCTCAGTTCCTTGGCCTTCACACATCGCCGGCGGTTCGTTTGTCAGAGAACTACGACCACAGAGTAATGTCCTGGGACTAAAAAAGTTCCCCCCCCCCCGCAACACAGGGGGCACCTGGAATAACATCTTGGGCCACCCGCTTGTCTTTATTCCACATGCATTTGCTAACAGGTGGACAGTATCCCAACAGCATGTGCCAAATCTACCCGGAACCGAAGGAGATATTCTCGTGAAAGGCCTGGAAGATCAAGGGTCTGTTGTTTCTGGCACTAGTCTCGTCACAGTTGGGACGAGACCATGGGTCGAATTTTGGTGGACATTTGTCTTTGCAAGTACCATCGCTTTACAGCATTAGGCGTCAGGAACTCACTTCCGTACCAAGTAACTTACTGCCAGTAAGATTGATTTCTTAACAAAGAAAACATCCATCCCCATGCAAGGGCTGAACATGCCCATTTACGAGACTGGCTGGGACCCCTTACTTACTATACATTCCCTATAACAAAGGCCTGGCACAGTCATTTCAGCTGTCTGTCAGCAAAACAACTCACAGGGAAGATATGGCCATGGGTCAAAAGCCCGTACCCTTAGTGAACGTCCCAATCCCCACTGAAATAGGTTCTAAAATGAGTGGTGAATTCACCTACCAACCAAAATGGGATCCCATTGGTTTTGACAGCCGCAGCCATATCCAAAATACATAAGGGACGGGAAAGATCCTGTCTGCAGCTTGTCTTGGGCCCATCCCCTCGACTCCCTGAACCCAGTGCCCGGTTCGGGGGAAACCTGGGGCTTTATCAGACCTCAAGTGACTCAAGTCAGTCGGTTGATGGGCCGGTTCTGAGCTCCAGCTGCTTGGGGATAACAAAAATGGAACAACCACATCATCCCCAATATCCTTGCTTGCCATCTTTCAGAGCAAGTCATATTGTAAAACCATGACAGAACGTCAATTGTTGGGAATCCCATTTAAGGTGGTTTAAAAAAAAAGTCACGCTGCAACGACCCCACACTGAAAAACCCGTGCCTATGGAAGATACACTCCCAAACACATGAGTCATACGAGTCGAGCCGTCCGGCATCATATTTTTGGGTTAACCGCCCATCCCCAGCCGCAGACGAATCAAGCTTAGTTGATTTGCTGGTGGGGTCACTTCTTGCGGGGGAAAAAAAGCACAAAAAAACACCACTGCCGTTGATTCATCCGGGCTCAAGATTGAGCTACAGAGTTCTGACTGCTTTGAGGAGAACCTCGGCACGGGGAGGAGAATCTCCTTGACCGGACTCGAGATTCATATTGCATCACGTAGCATCTTCAAACCACTAGGCTCACACAAAAAGCCTTCGAGCATTTCACCAGATTGGCTGATTGGCCTTTCTTCCTCCACTGACTTGGGGTAAATCCACCACTCCTAGGTCCTCCAGTAGAGAGGTTAGAATAAGGCTACCAACTTTTTTCTGTAGTCTATTTTAAGAGGGGAGCCCTCCCCCAAAAAAGAAACGGTCAACGGGCACTACTGGGAGACCTAGACTCCCCACATCCGTTCTCCGCCTTTCGCAGAACTCGCGTGTTGCGGGGTCGCGCCTTCCAGGATGCCCCGCAAGATCTCGCAGTCGTTGACGCCGAAGGTGATCTGTAGCAGGTCCACCTCGACCGATGACCGATGGACGCTCAACCACAACCAGGGATGAAGACTTGACTTCCCCATGTCCTTTTGGGGCGGACGTCGGATTGTTCATTTCGCTTGCCGGAAAAAGATAGTAATTATATATATAAAACTACATTTGCTCCCAAACTAACCGAAGACTGCCATTGTTTGTCAGGTGGGCATATGCTTACCAACCTTTAAATGGGAAATACTCTCAACGATTCATACCCAACCTTCCCCCTTAAACACCACCACTACACTGTTAATGCGTGGGAAATCAGCTGGGTTATGGTAAAGAGGGTACTAAATGGGACCAAATGGGAGGTTCTGCGTTTGACATGCGCCACTTCCCTTGCAGTTGGGCTGTCAATCGCTGGGGATAGGTTAATACCTGCCCTTGCACGAATTTCAAATGCCACGCAAGAACATTGTTTCAAGTGGCACCTGTCACAATCAACTCAGCTCAGCAACTTCTCATTTCAGTTGCCGCATCCTCTCCTGTTATTTCCCCGGAGTCAAACACCCACACCCACACACACACATAAAAACAAGCAACAAGACAAAAAGCAAAAACAAACTATCATTCCGTGGCTTGACCTTTTCAGCGTAACATTAGGGGCCAAGTTAGTACAAACATGATTCTACCATTTCTCCCATGATCATGACTAGGTCTGGTTTTGAAGTACCCCACTAGTCATTTGGGCCCTTGTAAATGCCAGGTTGGGCAAAATCAAAAAGGGAACATGCAGAACCTCGTTGCGGACGCTCTGCCCAAACCCCGGGGAGCTCGCCCAGAAAGGGGGGGGTCCTGCACAAAGAGGCTGGGCCTCCTGCGAAAGGGATTCCTCTTGATATGAGTCACAAGCAAAACCTGAGATTGAATTGGCCTACCCAGAGCCATGCAAAGAATTCAAAAGGCTGCACTCATTTGTGGTTGGGACTATCCCTCACCCCGGTTTTGATTGTGGCTTATATGTTCTTGGTTGGGGGTCCATGTTCATCTGCAGGGGTCGATCCCCCAGTCACCGCTCTTCGGCCTCCAGATCTCGAAGGATGGGGTTATTCCAGTTAGCATCCTCCTCGGCGCAAGATCAAAGTACATGTGCATGTAAGAGTGTGCGTGTGTGCGTGTGCGTGTGGGTGTGTGGGTGTGTGGGTGTGTGTGGGTGCGTGGGTGGGTGTGTGTGTGTATGGTTTGGAAGATTGGCTGAACGGAAAACCAGAAGCCAACGGTCCCTTAAATGGGAGACAAACCCATATGCCAGTCAACACTTGAGTTGAACATGCACCCACCAAGGCTCCAAACAACGCCAGAAACGTAACTTGTCAGTACAAGCAATCTGCGTTGCAAAATCCCTTGACACTGTTGTTGCAAAAGTCCTTACCACTTTTGCAGAATTGAGGATTCATTCACCATCTTGAGTCTATGTTTGGTCTCATGGTCTCGGTTATCGTTCGATTGCAGGCGTGCTGCGCTATCTCTGTGTGTGCCTGGCCAACGCCGGACGATTGTTGAATGATAATGGATGCATACTTCAAAGCTCGCTGCACGTGCTGTTTCTATCAGGCTGCACGGTACATCTGCACAAACTGGGTTCCCTGTATTTTGCCTTGAAACAGCTCTCTAAGAGGAAACCAAAGCTTCAAAAGGCGATGTTCAAAAGCACCAACAAAGGAAATACTGGAAGCCCAGTCGCTCTTCTCTTCCTCGTAGCTTGTTTTTCCAGGTGCCCACAGGTGCGCGTGGAACACAGGCATCCCATGGTTGTCTCAATTGAGCAGAACCATTTTTCCGCTTTCCGCTCTTGATGCTTCGTCTGAGATGGTTCTGCTCTAAAACGCGATTCAACCAGGCAGTAGAACCACCTACTCCACCCACTCGCAAGCGAGATCGAAGCCCCAAGAAGAGTGACGCCGAGCCCAACCCACGTTCTTCCTTAGTTAAACCGTGTCGCTCACCCCAGCAACATGGCCAATGGAGGAACTTTGGGCGCTCGAATTTGCTGGTTCAAGTCCATCGCCTTAACCCGAAAGGACAAGGGGTTCAAATGCCCAAGCGAATCCAAACTGGGGTTAACCAGTTAACCACCAAATGGGGTAGCCACCAATTTAGGGGTAACCACCAATTTAGGGGTAACCACCAATTTAGGGGTAACCATCAATTGGGGGCAACCTGAGTCCAAAACACTTGAGTCAAAACAATGAGCCGGAAGTCCAGCAAAGCGCCCACGGTCTCAGGCACGGCCAGCTGGGAAAGAATCACCTAAGACCAGACTCCAGGCCCAACACAAGCGAGGGGGCAAGGCAAATGTTCGGACACCCAAATGGGTGTTTTGTTTTCTTTTTGTGGGGGAACCTCCTTTAGTAGATAGGGGGGCCTTGAATTGATTTTGGTTAAGAAACAACAAACCATGTGGAGATATGTCGAGCTCATGAGAAAAAGGCGTCTATTTGGCGTGTCGGATTTTTATTGTTCTTTATTTTTTTCTCGGAACTCCCATTTGGCTTTACAGGGCAACCCGAAGGACGCCAACCACCCACTTTGGGAGACAAGTTCATGGAGAGGAAGCTCGGCGAACATCGCAAGAATGAACACATGGAGTTTCTATATCCAGGACCCCCCAAGGACCGAACTGTTGAACACTGGTATGGGTGATGGTTTTGTTTGCTTCAGAGTGGATTAAGGGGACACCAAAAGAAAGCCGCCAGTTTTGTGGGGAGCGGTGCGTTGACACATACCCGCATAGTACTAGAACTACTAAGCATTCGGGCAGGCCTCACGTGCCGCTTCAAGCAAGGCATTTCCCGGGCCATCTTGACCTCGTGTTAAAAGAAGTTTGGCATGCCCCAAGTTCCACCACAATGAGAAGCTCCTTGACTAACATGTCGTGGGCTGGGTTGCAATGATCCTTCCAAGCAGAATCATACATCCTACAACAGTGATTCCTGTGTTTTAGTGGTGGGGTTTACCTTTTGTCCTGAGCCATCCAAACACCAGGACCCCTATTTTTAGGAAACATCCCGAGGCAAACCTGTGACATTGACGCCATGGGCTCGCTCTCAGTTACGGGTCCCTAGTTATGCAATTATTTTACGGGGTTTGGTGTGGTCACCTGGTCTGGGGGTCTGGTCAAACTTGCTGGTGCGATAGGTATGTGGTTGAATGAACCCAGGAATCGGTCCCCTTAAAGCAACCAGCAGTTGGATGTTTTTCCTCGGACGAATTCCATTTCCACTTCCCTGCCTCTCTCGCAGCAGCAAGCAAACCCTTCAGCTTGGCTTTCCCTCGCTTCATGTTGCAACTGACAAGGCTCGCAAATGCTCCAGAGGCGCCAGGTCCCTCCGATGGGCGAAGTGCTCCTGTAGCACCCGGCGCCGCTGCCGGTGTCCTGGCCGCGGGGTTCCTTACGGGTCGTGGAGGCACTAAGTAGTGCTTGAGACCGGTTCTGTGAACCCTCTCTAAAAGATTGCTTCCGATATGAGTTAACTTAACCAAACAGTTCAGAAGTTCAAGCACTTTTCTCGGGCTTTTCGTTCATGTTCTTCATTTGCGTTCCTTCGCTTTGAAGGTGGCCCGTTATTTTCCCGGTGTCCCATCACTTTCGTAATTCTCCTTCATTCCTTCATTGTCCTGGCTGTCCCATCTTCACTTACCCAAAAGGACCCCGAAATGAAAGGTTAACTTTTTGGCACTGGACCAAAACGGGAAAACCAAAAGGTCAAAAAGGTCGGCTTTGGGCAACTGAGCATCATCTTCGATGGCTTTCCTTCCTGTTTGCGGTCCACCTTTTGCTTGGGTTTGTCAGGGTCACACCTGAGAATACTCTCCAAATGGAACCTTGGGGCGGAACACACAAGACTGCTCAAACTGGAACAATTCCTCCCAACATGACGGTGTCGCAACTAAAGCTCTAGGGGTTGATTCCTTTTCCATTCTTTGCAACCATCGTTTCAAAAACCAGCTGTTTCCCCAACGTTTTGGGTGGTTTTGTAGAAAGAAGGATGCCTGGAAAGAATGGGTAAGGTACCCCTAGAAAAGTCTCAGAAACGATCTCCACAACTCGTCGCCAAATCGCAGCTCGAAGTTGGAGAGTTTCCTCTCGCTACGTCGGGGCTGACTGCACCAAGCTGAGCCTCTGGTGCGCATCGCGGAAGGCGCTATGTCCACCAGCCATTTGGGAGGGTCTTCTTTCAAATGTGGCCGAACAGAAGGGGACGCCATGGGGGCTGCGCTTTCTTGCAGGTAGCAATAATAGATAAGAAAACAAAAAGAGCACAAAACCCAAATCAACCATTGCATCGAAGAAAACAAAGCCCGAAACAACCAACATCAAAAAGCCTCGTGCTAAAATCTAAAAAAGACGAGAAACAAGCAATTACAAAAACCATCAAAAACCAAAATCGTAGCCGGCATGAAAAAACTATACTTGAAACTATATACACGAGGCACTCTACCTGCAAAACCACAGCCAGCATGGCGTTCCAGCCAGCCAAAGGAGCCCCCAAAAGACCCTCAGGGGGGACATGACGAACCCGAGAAAGCGATGATTTGCCCGGAGAAAGCGATGCCATAAACGGGCCTCAGAAACAGTCGGCCTGGAAAGATCCAACGAACATTGATTGCTTTAGGTGGCTTAGGGTAATACCAAATGGTACTGTTACTGTGCAACCTGTAAACCTCTATACTTCAGAGTATGTGAATCTTTGTGTCTGTGTGTCTGTGCATCTGCGTAACTGCGTCCATGGGAAACAGTTGTACAAGTTTAATTTCACAATGACCGCTACATCTCACTCGTTGAGTGGATGGCGCGAACAAGTCTGAGCTGTTTAATTACCAACAAAAACACCATCTTCCCAAAAAGTGGCTCAAGTCCGAAGTGAGCCAAGTAGGATGCGCCTTTGCAGTTTCTGGCTCTCTTGCTCCATTTCCCTTGGCTGGAATTAGGACCCCGGCAAGAAACCAAATATGTTTTACCTAATTTGTGAAAAACAGAAGGGGCCTAAAAAAATGAGAAATAAAAATAAAAAAGGGGAACTACTTCTGGGAAAGTTCCCTGATCTTCCTCGCTGGATTCGATCGGAGGCGAAAGCGTCATTCCGGAGCTCCTTCCACCAAGATGCCGGACCAGCCGTTGCAGAGCAGGTTGGATGCCAGATCTGGGCCATCCTGAGGATCGCAGCAAAAATCTACGATCTTGAGGCGGGAAAATCTACTCTGGGCCATCTGAAAATCAAGGATCCAGATCTGGGCCATCCCTTGGATCCATAGATTCTAGGTGTACCTTCCATTTCCATTCTAAACCCAGGGATCCGAATCTTTCTAGAAAACCTCCGGCAACCCCGGGAAAATAGCTGGTTTTTGAAGAGAACGATGGTCGAACAGAATGGACAAGGAGTCCACCCCTAGAAAACAACATCTCTGTGGCTTTGGACCGCAACAAGTTGGGTCTGACTTGGCTTTGGGCAGTTCTCCAAGGGAAACGAACAGAAAATCAAGCATCTTGGAGGTGCCCCCGTTTGTGAAAAAAAAAAAGTGGCAATGGTGTGGGGAAACTCTTCAAGTGCCAGCATGAAGCTGAAAGATTCAATACCGCCAAGGGATTGATTGATCCCCTGCTTCTTTTCTAAGTTTCACTTTTAGTGAGATTAATGGACCCCCCCCCACTAAACCCTAAAAACCTAAAAACCTAAGGGAACGGCTGGGAAACCAAGCTGTGTATCTGTCCTTTTCGCAGCGTACGAGCGAACCCCCCTTCTTTCTGGCGGGGGGGGGGAGGGTTAAAGAGAAAACTTCACTGCGGGGGATTTGTCTTTCTCATAGTTCTAGTCAAACAAGGAAGAATGTTAGTTGAAGAACACCATGGAAGCCACTTGCGCGTCTCAATGCACAAGTGGCTCGCTGCCGCTCTTCCGGACCCCCGAAAGCTGGCAAGTCAAGCCGCTCCTACGGTCCCCTTCCCTTACCCGAATCAGGTGGCACAAGGTGCCCCAACTGAACGCACGTGGGCCTCTGAAATGCATGTAGTCAAAACGGCGTGGGAACAGAACAATCCGGGCAATATAAGGGGTTGAAGCATTAGAATGGGCTTGTGGAGTACTCCAAGACCATGATCGCACGATATCTGCATATGCAATGTGCACTTAATACTTAACTAGCCCCTTGTGTTACATCCAAAGAGAATGTTCGGGTGACCAGCCGGTTCCAAAATAGCCTCATGTAAAACCTCCCCTTTGCCATGCGCAGTGGCCGCATCTTTCGGCAGGCCCGGCTTTCTCCAAATCCAGCCCCGTTGGTCCCAAAAAATACTTTCAACGTATGTTGCCTGTATGGGCATAAGTCACTGGCATTCTTTGTCTAAGTCTTTGTCACCCACAAATCGAATGTGGGTCCTTTTCGGGAACGCAATCTTTGGCCGGGGCTTCTCTTGCACCGTCAAAATCTGCTCCGGAGCCAGTATGGTCAATGTGATAGATTCCCTTGAAACAAACAACATAAAAATAACAAAGACAGGACCCCTAGAGTTGCGGCTTTCCTTTTGGAAAGCACAAACAAAAAGGTACCCTGAAAAAGAGATACACCCACTTAGCCGGCTCTAATGCTTATGTTTCTTGGGCTTTCCTTCATTTCCAGGGCTGGCCAACTTAGCTGGGTTCCACTGACCCTGCCACTCTTGGAGGATCCAAAAGTAAGAACAGGAAGACGGCAACATAGCGCAACAAAGCCGACCCCCAAGTTCATTCCATTTCTCATTCCCTATCGCAGCGATCGCAAGACCAGGGAAGACCAAAACAAAAGCCAACAGAAACTTCTTTGGATCCCGTTGTTTCGTTTGGCCAAGCAACGGCTTCGCAGGACTTGGGCGCATGGTGGGCTCCAAAACTCCACACCACACCTGGCACCAGCGAGCAGCGGCTACGACCAGCGGCTACGACTGCGACTTCCCCGTGCGAGGGTTGACAAAGGTTTCGGCGGTGGCACAAAACGTGTTCGCACCAAATTCTCGAGATGGTTCCCGTAGATTTTGCAGGGAGAAGAAAGGAGACAGGGTTCCACACATTTTTACCCGAGCATTCCTGATGCTTACAACAACCCTTCAACGAGAAATGTGTGTGTGTGTGTCTTACAATAGTGGACCCCCCCCCAAAAAAAAAAAGAAAACAAGAAAACAAGAAGGTGTTTTTTTTTGTTTTGCTTTCCCTTTTTTAAAGGCACCTTTTGCTATACAAGGAAATGTCTAATCCAACTGATCATGTGGCAACTCTCGATGTTGTCGGGCCCATGCTCGATGATTCTGTATTGCGCCGTCGGGGGGGAACCCCCGGCTCACAACAAGTGGCAATCTATTTGCAACATGTCCTCTAACAAAACCCCGAAGTTGATTCGGTTGGTGTCAAGCTTGGTGACATTCAACCAACGGCGGGCAAATGAGCTTGGGTACATAAATCCTACCGAATCTGGATGTCCACCATTTCGGGCGCCCTAATCAAAATTCGACGTCAAGCTACGATGCCACGAAGGGGGGGGAGGCTTGGGCCGGCCATCTGCATGAAGTGCTATTGCTCGAAGGTTTCCGCAACATGGGATTGATCGAACCTGAGTCTGAGCTTCTTGTTTGCCACTAGAACGGCCTTGCCAAAAAGTATGATAAGTCCAAGAAATCGAGTGAGTTTTCCAGGTGAACTGACTCCATTGACAGGCGCCTTCGCCTTTCAAAAACCTGGCCTTGAGGGCGCGAGGTGAGAGTTTCCCAGAATGGGTCAACCAGGGGCTGACAATCTGCCAACGTCTGCTCCTCAGGCCGCGAGACGAGATGCAATGAGACGCCGTTCGCGCACAGTGACCATGGGGAAAGGGGAACCCTTTGGATCGAATGAGAGTGGATGAGAGTGCCAACTGACACTGGAGACGGAGGCGCCGCTGGTCGCATAGAAATCCTACCCATGGGCTTGCCACCTGACACTCAAGTACTCCCTGGATCTGCATGTGTCAATTCTAGAACCTGAAAGGGGCCCGCAAGTAAATCAGGTTGGATTCCCTCGCGCTGGGAACCCAAAGGAAAACCCTCCGGTCACACGAAACCAAAGCCCTGGGCCTGGGACTTGAGGTTCGCGTCCGGTTTGTCTCCGGGCATTCTGGAGGGTTGGAACATGGCTTTTTCCTCTTGGCCCGTGGGCGACACACCCCATCGGCAAAAAATCCGTCCGTCGCTGTCGCACCGAAGGATCCAAAGCAGCCCGAACTGATGGGTGTGAGCTCCTTTTCTTCCATCTGAGTTTTTGCCCCCTGGACAAATGAGAACGTATTGCCAGTAGTAGTAGTGAAACCGATTCCCTTTACAACCAACAGGGGAAAACACACACACACACACACATTCAGCAAATTAAAGTTTTAGAGTATGATCCCCTTCACCAAAGGAGCCCGAACAAAATCACATGACCTATCAGTCTCCCTTGACAACGCTTGAAAACCCGGTCATTTGTCGGAACCCTATTTTTGGCGGGCTTTTGGAGTAGCAAATTGTGTGGGGTTGCCGAGCTGCCCTTCGTCTGACCCCGTGTCCGAACCTTCCATTTGCTTAAGACCCCTGGAAAAAATCCAGTATAGTGATACATTCCCTTTAAAACCAACAAGGGGAAAATTATACTCTTAACCAAACGGAAGAACATGGTTGACCCCAATGACCCCCGAAAACCGCCGACCTCCGAACCCCCCGAATTCTGAGGCTCCTTCCAAGGTCTGGAAGGCCTCGTACGGCACCTGCCGCAGCTCCTGAGGCTCGAGCCATTCTGCCGAAGGGACTCACAAGTGGCGGTTTTCTGGTTGGTGTCCCTCCAACCCAACATTCAAGCAAACAAGCAAAAGCAAGCAAGCAAAAGCAAAAGCAAAGCAAGCAAAGCAAAAGCAAAGCAAAAGCAAAAGCAAAGCAAAAGCAAAGCAAAAGCAAAGCAAAAGCAAAGCAAAGCAAGCAAGCAAAGCAAGCAAGCAAGGCAAAAGCAAAGCAAAAGCAAGCAAGGCAAGCAAAGCAAAAGCAAAGCAAAAGCAAAGCAAAAGCAAAGCAAAGCAAGCAAGCAAGGCAAGCAAAGCAAGCGAAGCAAGCAAAGCAAAAGCAAAGCAAAAGCAAAGCAAAGCAAGCAAGCAAAGCAACGCAAAGCAAGCAAGGCAAAAGCAAAGCAAAAGCAAAGCAAAAGCAAAGCAAAGCAAAAGCAAAGCAAAAGCAAAGCAAAAGCAAAGCAAAGCAATGCAAAGCAAAGCAACGCAAAGCAAAAGCAAAGCAAAGCAAGCAAGCAAAGCAAAGCAAGCAAGCAAGGCAAAAGCAAAGCAAAAGCAAAGCAAAAGCAAAGCAAAAGCAAAGCAAAGCAAGCAAAGCAAGCAAAGCAAAAGCAAAGCAAAAGCAAAGCAAAAGCAAAGCAAAGCAATGCAAAGCAAAGCAACGCAAAGCAAAAGCAAAGCAAAACCAAAGCAAAGCAAAGCAATGCAAAGCAAAGCAACGCAAAGCAAAAGCAAAGCAAGCGCAAAGCAAAGCAAAAGCAAGCAAAGCAAGCAAAGCAAAGCAAAGCAAAGCAAACAAAGCAAACAAAGCAAGCAAAGCAAGCAAAGCAAAGCAATGCAAAGCAAAGCAAAGCAAAGCAAGCAAGGCAAAAGCAAAGCAACAGCAAAGCGAAGCAAGCAAGGCAAGCAAAGCAAGCAAAGCAAAAGCAAAGCAAAAGCAAAGCAAAGCAAGCAAGCAAGCAAGGCAAGCAAAGCAAGCAAAGCAAAAGCAAAGCAAAAGCAAAGCAAAGCAAAGCAATGCAAAGCAAAGCAACGCAAAGCAAAAGCAAAAGCAAAGCAAGCGCAAAGCATAGCAAAAGCAAGCAAAGCAAGCAAAAGCAAAGCAAAGCAAAGCAAAGCAAACAAAGCAAGGCAAGCAAAGCAAAAGCAAAGCAAAAGCAAAGCAAAAGCAAAGCAAAGCAAGCAAGCAAGGCAAGCAAAGCAAGCAAAGCAAGCAAAGCAAGCAAAGCAAAAGCAAAGCAAAAGCAAAGCAAAGCAAGCAAGCAAAGCAACGCAAAGCAAAAGCAAAGCAAAAGCAAAGCAAAAGCAAAGCAAAAGCAAAGCAAAGCAAGGCAAAGCAAAGCAAGCAAGCAAGGCAAGCAAAAGCAAGCAAGCAAAAGCAAAAGCAAAGCAAAAGCAAAGCAAAGCAAGCAAGCAAGGCAAGCAAAGCAAGCAAAGCAAAAGCAAAGCAAAAGCAAAGCAAAGCAAGCAAGGCAAGCAAAGCAAAAGCAAAGCAAAAACAAAGCAAAGCAAAGCAAGGCAAGCAACGCAAGCATAGCAAAAGCAAAGCAAAAGCAAAGCAAAAGCAAAGCAATGCAAAGCAAACCAAGCAAAGCAAGGCAAGCAAAGCAAGCAAAGCAAAAGCAAAGCAAAAGCAAAGCAAAGCAAGCAAGCAAGGCAAGCAAAGCAAGCAAAGCAAGCAAAGCAAAAGCAAAGCAAAAGCAAAGCAAAAGCAAAGCAAAGCAAGCAAGCAAGGCAAGCAAAGCAAAAGCAAAGCAAAAGCAAAGCAAAGCAATGCAAAGCAAAGCAACGCAAAGCAAAAGCAAAGCAAAACCAAAGCAAAGCAAAGCAATGCAAAGCAAAGCAACGCAAAGCAATAGCAAAGCAAAAGCAAAGCAAGCAAGCAAGGCAAGCAAGCAAGGCAAGCAAAGCAAGCAAAGCAAAAGCAAAGCAAAAGCAAAGCAAAGCAAGCAAGCAAGCAAGGCAAAAGCAAAGCAAGCAAAGCAAAAGCAAAGCAAAAGCAAAGCAAAGCAATGCAAGCAAAGCAAGCAAAGCAAAAGCAAAGCAAAGCAATGCAAAGCAAAGCAACGCAAAGCAAAGCAAAGCAAGCAAGCAAGCAAGGCAAGCAAGCAAAGCAAGCAAAGCAAGCAAAGCAAAAGCAAAGCAAAAGCAAAGCAAAGCAAGCAAGCAAAGCAACGCAAAGCAAGCAAGGCAAAAGCAAAGCAAAAGCAAAGCAAAAGCAAAGCAAAAGCAAAGCAAAGCAAAAGCAAAGCAAAAGCAAAGCAAAAGCAAAGCAAAAGCAAAGCAAAGCAAGCAAGCAAGGCAAGCAAAGCAAAAGCAAAGCAAAAGCAAAGCAAAGCAATGCAAAGCAAAGCAACGCAAAGCAAAAGCAAAGCAAAACCAAAGCAAAGCAAAGCAATGCAAAGCAAAGCAACGCAAAGCAAAAGCAAAGCAAAAGCAAAGCAAAAGCAAAGCAAAAGCAAGCAAGCAAGGCAAGCAAAGCAAGCAAAGCAAAAGCAAAGCAAAAGCAAAGCAAAGCAAAGCAATGCAAAGCAAAGCAACGCAAAGCAAAAGCAAAGCAAAAGCAAAGCAAAGCAAAGCAATGCAAAGCAAAGCAACGCAAAGCAAAAGCAAAGCAAAAGCAAAGCAAGCAAGCAAGGCAAGCAAAGCAAAGCAAAAGCAAAGCAAAAGCAAAGCAAAGCAAAGCAATGCAAAGCAAAGCAACGCAAAGCAAAGCAAAGCAAGCAAGCAAGCAAGGCAAGCAAGCAAAGCAAGCAAAGCAAACAAAGCAAGCAAAGCAAGCAAAGCAAAGCAAAGCAAAGCAAAGCAAAAGCAAAGCAAAAGCAAAGCAAAGCAAGCAAAGCAAAGCAAAGCAAAGCAAAGCAAAGCAAAGCAAAGCAAAGCAAAGCAAAGCAAAGCAAAGCAAAGCAAGCAAGCAAGCAAGCAAGCAAGCAAGCAAGCAAGCAAGCAAGCAAGCAAGCAAGCAAGCAAGCAAGCAAGCAAGCAAGCAAGCAAGCAAGCAAGCAAGCAAGCAAGCAAGCAAGCAAGCAAGCAAGCAAGCAAGCAAGCAAGCACACACACATACACACAAACACACACACACACAAACACGCAGATACACACACAGACAGACACACACACACACAGACACACACACACACAGACACATGCAGACACACACACACACAGACACACACGCACACACACGCACACACACAGACACAGCTACCCATCTATCTCACCACTTTCCATCAATCACACCTAGTTGTCTGAGCAATCAATCACATCAATCAACCAACCAGCGCGTCGTCTATTTTTCTGTGCGTCAACTACCCATCTGCGTTTTTATCTATTGAAATTCAGCGGGGCCCTGCAAAGTACTGCGCCTGTCACGAAATTCAATGCGTGTGGGCGTCCGTGTGAGTGTCTGTGTGTGTGTGTCTGTGTGTGTGTGTCTGTGTGTGTGCGTGTCTGTGTGTTTGTGTGCCTGCGTGTCTCTGTGTGCGTGTGTCTGTGTGTGTGTGTGTCTGTGTGTGTGTCTGTGTGCCTGCGTGTCTCTGTGTGCGTAGGTGTGAAGGAAAAAGATGATGAGCAAATCGGGTGAAACAAGGGATAGATGGATGGACAGAAACAGACAGATTGGATAGATGGACACATTGACAAAGATGCATCGATAGATCGCTGGACAGAAAGATAGATAGACGAGGGAAGCCGACTGGCCGGCGAGTAGAACGTCTGATGGGTAGACAAGAAGATAGATCGAGCGATCGATAGAGAGGTAGATAAATAGACAGATAAGCATAGATAGAAAGGCGGATAGCACGAAACACGTGCAGATAGATAATAGAAGACAAATACATAGCTCGATCTCCCAACGGGCAGTTGGACGGATAGGTGAGTTGAGGTGATGAGAGTTGATCACATGAGAAAATGATGAGGCTGACAGATGGCCAGGTAGCTAGGGGCAGAAAGATGTAGACACACACAGGCCAACAAACAGACTGACCCAAGGAAACCAAGAAAGAAAGGAAACAACAGAAGAGCTATCGAAAAGAACACAAGCATAAAACAACAATAAAGCAAAGAAGGAACAAAGGAACACATACACACCAAAAAGAAAAGCAACGAAAGAAATGGTAAATGGACCAGCAGAGACATACACACAAATATGCATGCTACGGTAGCTTTGGGCATTCCTGTCCAACTGTGGTTTTAATTGAAGTTTGACAGAACATTACATGGAATTTGACAACCCATTGCCCTGCCCCTTCGAAAATGATATTTATCTCCAATAGAAGCTCAAGGAACAGGACATGTCAAATCTATTAAATATACGTGAATGATCTCCTTATTGAAGTCTAGTTCAATGCTAAAACAAGTTGGCCAACATCCTATTTGGAGAGAAGCTCCTACTTCAACATCCCAACTTCAAATAGAAATTATATTGGATCTGTGTCCTTAAGTTATATCTTCATCTGAATTGCATGTCAATCAACACTCTAATTAAACTTTTATGTGCATTCTTACTACATTCTATGTAGCGTCCAACCAAACTTTCATCTAACTCCTCTAGAACCAAGTTTCCGTGTAGACTCTAACTTACGCTAGAAATTCGAATTGAACTTTAAAAATGCACATGTGGAAAGGAGCTCAATTTAAGTGCGAGAGAACTCCGCAATTTTCTGGTTCCAGAACCGCAGGCCCTTTTCGGCGTTCAGTCAGCTCCTGCATGACGGAGCAGTCGATGATGGATCCCTCCATCTGCAGGCACACGCGCTCCACAGCCTTCTCATAGCCTAAGTTCTCAAAAAGTCGGGATGGGTTGCTCAGATGCGTGGCCATGAGGAAAAAAGGGTATCCTTTTTTTTGGGTTGGTTGACTTTAAAGGGGAACCCTTCCCAACAAAAGGCAAACAAAAAAGGTACCACTGGACAATTGGGTGCCAATGTCTCCCGTTCAACCAACCTCAGAAAGTGAATCCTCAAGAAGTGAAAAACTGTAAGTCTGGGGACCCAAATGGGAGTTTTGTTCGGCAACTGTCCCATTCAACCAACCTTCAAAAACGTGTACCCTCAAAAACTGTCACACACTTGCACTCACTCTCACATGCCTATGGATTATTACCCCCACAATCTTAAGGGACCAACTTCCGCACTGGGAATTAACCTTCCCCAGTGAATCCCCCTCCATCCATTTGTTGGCTGTTAAAGGTTGGCTCCCTCAGTTCACCTGCCGCTGGTGCCATTCAGGCGACATCCTCAACATTGTCCTCTAAATGGTGGTTTAAGGACAAACCACCCACAAGAGTCATATCCTCAAAATGAGAAGCCACCCGCAACAGTCATTTGGATGCTGCTTGAATAGAGGTCCGCAGAAAAGGGTTGGTTTCCTTTCGGTTTTCCACTGAATGCCAAAAGGGGTTCCATCATTGAGAGAAACTCCTATTTCAAGCACTGAACATGTAACCACTTCAATTGGCCCATGATTCTTTTACAAGTGGACCGCTGGGTCAGGCCAGCTTCTGCCTTGCTTGGCAACTTCCCTTTGGGCAGTCCATTTTAATCCCTTGGTTGGCAAGAAAGGGGGGATGGGTACTCTTCGGCATTTTCCAGACCCCCGCGTTTCCTGGTAGACTTACGCCTGGGGAATTGCCGAATCAGGAATCAGGTCCCGGGTATTTGCGGGAGTGGTTTCCCGTAAAAACCACCAAGCATGAGATTCCTTCAATAAACAGCACACCCACATTGACTCCATGGTTGGAATCAACAAACATGAGATTCCTTCAATAAACAGCACACGCACATTGATTCCATGGTTGGAGTCAACTCTCAAACCACAAAAGGAGCACCAACTCTTAAAGACACACCCCAGTCAACACTAAACCACCAACATATGGAAACCACAGGTGGTAGTCAACATTAAACCACCAGGACATGGACCACAGGTTTTCCTCCATGTTTACACGTACCAAGGCAACCCATTTCGGGATTCCCAACTCTTCTTGACGAGCACCGCATGACCAAAAAAACAAATCCGCCGGCGCCGACGCCCGAGCTACCGGCCCCAGCTCCGGTTTGCAAGTCGAGCGAGTCTCCGAGGCGAGGGGCGGTCCAGGAGCTCGAAGCAGTCCTTGAACTTCACCAGGCACAGGGCCCGGTCCATGGACTCCTCGAGACAACACCACCCAGACGGTGGCGACATCTGCCCTGCTCGAAAAGTGAAAATAGCTTTTGGTGGTTTAATACACAAAAAAACATTGCTTGGGCAAAAGTGAAGTCCTAACATCCAAGCAAAATGCACCAAAGCAGACGGCGAGGGGCGTCCAAAGCGATAAGACGCGTGACGCTGGACCATCCCACCATGTCGTGTCCTTTTCGGGGTTACGGGGAGAAAGGGTTCCTTGCCAAGGTGGGCTGTCCGTTTTTTGATGTCAAAGTGATTCAAACTTTTGGTGGGTTGAATGGAAACTAGCACTAAAGCCTAAAAGCCGAACAACCTAAGGATAATAGCTGGGAAGCACCAGGAAAACTTGCTGCTTAGATGAGATGAGTTGACCCCGACAAAGCCATTCAACGAACGGTGGGTTCCGACCCAAAACTGAAGCCAATAGCAAACTAAGCTATCTCGGTCCAACAGTTGAGAAGAACACACGGAGGAGTTTGAGATGAACCAAGCTGATGTGACCCACAACCAAACTCCGGTTGAAGGTTAAGGGACAGTTGCCCGAACTACCCGCGGATTCCTGTTGATTCTTCACCATGGGTCCTGGGTAGACCACTTGAATACCAGGTTTGCTTGCTTATTCTCAATGAATCAATTTTCGGGGTCTTGGCAATGAACGGCTGGGGAAACCACAAGGCAAAAAATACCTCAACGTCCACTCGAGCCCGGACTCTGATCCCTATAGATGTTGCTGGGTTCCGAGAACCCTGGAAAAACCTGTGCAGACAGGGAACAAGGGGAAAGGCAACTTGTGCTTGGTGTTGGTTTCGATTGGTAGTCCAAACACTTCGGGGGAACATGGTGACATGGTGACATCGCCCAGTTTTTCTGGCCGAGGCTCCAGGATGTCCAACACACCCTGGCGAGCGAACACCAAATTCGAGCCGGGTTCCGGGCGTTCAAACATATGAGGAGCGGACGAAACCCTTTACTTGGCCCCAGTGTTTTTTTTAACGTTATCGGTTTTGGGGGAGACCTTATCGTTTTACAGTGTTTTCGAACTTTGGCAGATCCGGCTCGAAAATCGCAACTTTGTAGTACAAGTCTAGTACGCGAAGTACCCTTTCCGCAGCTCCAGCTCGAAAATCGCGAAACACACTTCCGCAGCTCCAGCTCGAAAACCTTTGTAGCACAAGACAAGTACGCGAAGTACACTTCCGCAGCTCCAGATCGAAAATCGCAACTTTGTAGTACAAGTCTAGTCTAGTACGCGAAGTACACTTCCACAGCTCCAGCTCGAAAATCGCAACTTTGTAGTACAAGTCTAGTACGCGAAGTACACTTCCGCAACTCCAGCTCGAAACTCGCAACTTTGTAGTACAAGTCTAGGACGGGGGAAGTACACTTCCACAGCTCCAAGTCTAGTACGCGAAGTACACTTCCGCAGCTCCAGATTGAAAATCGCAACTTTGCAGTACAAGTCTAGTACGGGAAGTACACTTCCACAGCTCCAGCTCGAAAATCTTTGTAACGTTTGTAGTACAAGTCTAGTACGCGAAGTACACTTCCGCAGCTCCAGCTCGGAAATCGCAACTTTGTATTACAAGTCTAGTAGTACGCGAAGTACACTTCCACAGCTCCAGCTCGAAAATCGCAACTTTGTAGTACAAGTCTAGTACGCGAAGTACACTTCCGCAACTCCAGCTCGAAACTCGCAACTTTGCAGTACAAGTCTAGGACGGGAAGTACACTTCCACAGCTCCAAGTCTAGTATATGCCATTCCGGCTGCAACTGGCTCTTTGCCACTATCTAAGTGGCTCTTTGAGCGGCAGCTCTTGCAAAACTGCATGTTGCTCCACAAGGCAGGGCGTGGCTCTGCCCAGCGGCACCGCGCCTGTGCTTCATAGGCTGTTCTCGCGCGCTGGCGTAAGCTTGTCAGGCCAGCGCCCTGCTTAGATTACAATGTCACGTTGGCAAACCTGCTCTGGCAACCTGTCTGCGATGTTACCTTGCGTTGTGTTGTAAGAGCTGCGCAGCACCTGTCAGCCTTCGTATACGCACACGTCACACAGATGCGCAAGAACAACCCTAACAAGAATGTTTTTTGAATCAAGCAAACTTTGGGCAGTCTCTGAGGTGACTGCAGGCTTAAAGCAACATGTTGCCATCTCAGCCAAAACCAACATGCTCAGTGGCCTTCCCTTGTCACCAGGCCATTTCAACGCCGGTCAGGCGCGGCACCTTCGTCTCCTACGGTTTCAAACCCTGTCGTAAGCTGCTCGCTGTCTTATAACCTGAGTGCTTCGCACCATGCCTTGCACACGTTTGGAGGTTTTGTTTGTTAGCCGGCGTTGCCTGACTGCTTGAACTACAAGGCCGTTTGGTTCTTAAACGCTTTTGGCGCCTGGGTGTGCCCGTGTCACCTTGCTAGCGTCGTGAACAGGGCAGGCGAGGGCGGGCCACGTTGTGGCAAAGGCTTGCCCATTCGAAAGCCGAACGCCTGCATGACAACACACGTTGAGCCCCTGGCCCCTTTGGCCCTGCAACAGCTTTTGGATCAGTTGTGTATTCGAGGGCTGGCTGGCCGAAAGCTGGCAATGCGCAGGGCAACTTTGTCGTAATTCTCAAGCGGTTTGGGCCAGTCAGGCCGGGCGCAAAAACCTCTGTGCACAAACTGGAGCAGCTCACGAATATGGCAGTGTCCTGCTTCATGTCTTGAACAATCACGTTCCACAACTGAAGCTACTTGCGCGGCGTTGTGCTGCTTGGCAACTAGCAGTGTTGACCGTGTGATAGGCGCATGCAGACACACGTGCGCTGCATGACTGGAAAGCTAAAAGGCGCTGCGGTTCGACTATCATATTGCTGCAAAACCTTCTTTGACCAAGCCTAAGCCGTGGACTCAAACAGACTCCCTTTTGCGCCCACGGAGGCGTCAGGTTTTTTTCGGCGTTTTTCGCAAGTTGTCCCAAGGTGCACTAGCGCCGCCGCAACCCTTGGCATGCGCGTTGCCTTTCTGGTGGGTGCATGCCAAAAGTCGATCAAGTCTATTGCAACAACTGCCTTTTGCCTCATGCCAGTCTGAGCAGTGCGACAGCATTTCCGCTTGCAACGAGCAGCTGTTAGTAGCTACACCGCTAAAACAAGGTATGGTGCCAGGCCGGAAGTATGATATGCGTTTACGCTTGGCGCGCGGCAAACACAGCGCGTTCTCTGCCCGAACTTTTTCAGATTTTGCAGGCATCGGCTGCCAACCAGCTGTTTTGGACAGCGTTGACAGTTTTCTGGCCGTTTTTCCAAGCTTTGATTGCGCGACGGGGCTACGGCGGAAGCATGCAAGATTGCGGTGGAAACAGGTACGCTGCTTTGCCGCCACAGGCTTCACTTGGGTTTGGAGTTGAATGAAGTGCTTTCCAGCTATTTCACAGAATGTCTGGGCAGCTTTACCAACATCTTGCCATATCTTGCTGCTCTGGCAAAGTGGAAACGCATCACGCTCGTGCAGTTCTTCAGGGATGTTCCTGAACTTTGCGCCAACATTGCTCCCGGGAAGGATGACACCGGTTTTGCGTGTCCTTGTTCAGCAGCCCCAGCACAAACGCTGAAGCTCTTTTCCGCGCACGCATGGCAGCAAGAACCAGTCCTTGGCGTGTCCTGCCAGGCCCTGCAAGCTCATGACGCGTTTTCCAACACCGCCAGCAGTTCTTTCTCTTTTGCGTCGCCTCAAACTGACAAGGCTGAAGTGGCGCTGGCCAAGCGGAATCTGAAGGAATGGCGTGATCCCTGCCTTCCTACGGCCTGCGGCTTCGCAGCGCCGCAGACAAGCTCAGAAACATAGAGCGCCAAGATTGGGCGCTGGTTTGAGCCAAACTGCCGAAACGACTAAGCTGGGAAAAACGATGTCTGGGCAAGGCCTGCTACAAGAAATGAGCCAAGGAGGGGGTGGAAGAGAGGGTTTGCCTGCTCCTCCTGACTTGCCTGAGCGCAGATTGCTTCGCAAAGTTGTCCAACAACTTTACGAGTTCTTGCATGAACATCATATACATGAAGTGGCTTGTCAGTCACGAGTCACGAGGCTGTTCCGAAAGCAAATCTGCCACAGCGCTAGCCATTTTACACTCACTACTTCCAGTCCGTCACAGGCAAGCCCAGCCCGACTCGACTGCAGCAGGGTGCCCATGTGAAATGCGTCTGCTTTGTTTCGTCGCAACGTCGGTTTGCAACTCGGCGGTCAGATGGTTTCCCCTCCATTTTTTGCGGACGGCGGGCTGGCCTGATTAAAAACTGCTGCGATGGAGTAAACACCTGCGCCAGTGAGATGTCACAAGCCAAGTTCAGCGTCAACCTTCTTCAACCGCAAAATCACGGAACCAATCATACTTGGCAGGCCCACATGCCACCTCATCTTGCGATTGTCTTTCCAGAAGCCCAATCACACAATCCAGTGTCAGGGGCATATGAATCACTGCTTTGTTTGGCGACTATAATGTTCTGAGCTGATCCGTTCTCGCTTTTTCTTGTGACTTGCGATTCGTTCTCCAGGAAGACAATCATAACTCTGCTCTGGGGTTCAGTTCGAGAACACGACGGGTTTTCCAAAAATCCGCTCGCAATGCTCTCCTGCACTCTCTCCTGCATTCGGCTGCAGCCAAACCCGTTCCTCAAAATGCGATCGTGTTTTCAAAAACCAAATCACAATTTGAGCCCGGCATTCGGCTGCAGCCAACCAATCACAATTTGAGCCCGGCATTCGGCTGCAGCCAACCAATCACAATTTGAGCCCGGCATTCGGCTGCAGCCAACCAATCACAATTTGAGCCCGGCGTTCGGCTGCAGCCAACCAAACACAATTTGAGCCCGGTGTTCGGCTGCAGCCAACCAATCACAATCTGGGTCCGGCATTCGGCTGCAGCCAACCAATCACAATTTGAGCCCGGCATTCGGCTGCAGCCAACCAATCGCAATTTGAGCCCGGCATTAGGCTGCAGCCAACCAATCACAATTTGAGCCCGGCATTCGGCTGCAGCCAACCAATCTCAATTTGAGCCCGGCATTCGGCTGCAGCCAACCAATCACAATTTGAGCCCGGCGTTCGGCTGCAGCCAACCAATCACAATTCGAGCCCAGCGTTCGGCTGCAGCCAACCAATCACAATCTGGGTCCGGCATTCGGCTGCAGCCAACCAATCACAATTTGAGCCCGGCATTCGGCTGCAGCCAACCAGTCACAATTTGGTCCGGCGTTCGGCTTCAGCCAGCCAATCGGCTGCAGCCAGCCAATCACACTCTCCGCAGACAAGTCCTCTTTCGGGATTGCGCTTGGCTTTCCCAGGCAACCGGCAGTTGGCTACAGCCAAGCCCTTTTCTCAGGACTGCGGTTGGTTCTCTGGATAGTCTATATATTGCTATCTTGCTCCGGCTGGCGTCTGCAGCGCAATCCGCTTCAGGGTTGCGTTGGGTCTTTCCCCAGCATCCGACAGGTATTCAAGGACCAATCGCGATTTTGCTCCAGCATTTGGCTGCAGCCCCCGATTCCATCATCCAAACTAAAGAGGGATGAGAGAATTATATCTAAAAACACATTTTCTTGGAGTGCGATTGGTTTTCGCGAAAATGAGTCACAACGCTGCCCCAGCATTTTCCTGCAGATTGCGCCGTGCTTGGCTTTCCGTGGTTGTGATTTGTTTCCTGGAAGGCCCGTCGGCATCCGGATAGCGGACATGGCTGCAGGCCAATGCCCCAGAAAACATGCAGCTTGTCTCTCGCATACCGAACGCACACCCGAAAGCGCATTTGGCTGCAGAATGACGCGGGAGCAAACCTGTGGTTGTTTTCCATCGCTATTCCAAAAACGGATTTGGCTGCAGCTGAATGCCGGAGCAAAATTGCGACAGTTTTCCGCAGAAAGACGAAGCGCAAACCCGAGAAACAACGCATTTGGCTGCAGCCGAATGCCGGTCTGTTGATGCGGCAAAGCCTTCAACTTCAACCGGCTGCCTCTTTCGCGTTATTTTTTCTTGAAAGCAAGTTGGAGCATTTGCACTTTGTGATTCTGAATTGGCTTGCTCAGTTGCGGTGCGGATTGCGGCGCGCGTTAGAAAGCGGCAGGCCGTCCCAAGAGCAGAAACATCGCCGCCAAATCTAACTCTGACATGACGTGGCCTATAGGCTTCCTAAGTCGCGCGAGCAAGTGTGTCTGCATGCGTCTATCACACGGTCAACACTGCTAGTTGCCAAGCAGCACAACGCCGCGCAAGTAGCTTCAGTTATGGAACGTGATTGTTCAAGACATGAAGCAGGACACTCCCATACTGGTGAGCTGCTTCAATTCGCGCAGAGGTTTTTGCCCCCGGCGTGCGCTGGTTCCGGAGAATTACGGAAGGTTGTTGACAAAGTTGCCCTGCGCATTGCCAGCTTTCGGCCAGCCAGCCCTCAAATAACATAACTGATCCAAAAGCTGGTGCAGGGCCAAAGAGGCCAGGGGCTCAACGTGTGTTGTCATGCAGGCGTTCGGCTTTCGAATGGGCAAGCCTTTGCCACAACGTGGCCCGCCCTCGCCTGCCCTGTTCACGACGCTAGCAAGGTGACACGGGCACACGGGCCCAGACACCAAAAGCATTGAAGAACCAAACGGCCTTGTAGTTCAAGTAGTCAGGCAACGCCGGCTAACAAACACAACCTCCAAACGTGTGCAACACAAAGTGCGAAGCACTCAGGGTATAAGACAGCGAGCAGCTTACGACAGTGCGTGAAACAGTGGGAGACGAAAGTGCTGCGCCTGACCGGCGTTGAAATGGACTGGCGACAAGGCCAGGCCATTGAGCATGGTGGCTTTTTTTGGCTGAGATGGCAACATGTTGCTTTAAGCCTGCAGTCACCTCAGCAGACTGCCAAAGTTTGTTTGATTCAAAAAACATTCTTGTTAGGATTGTTTTTCGCATCTGTGAGACATGTCCGTACGATGTCTGACTGGTGCTGCGCAGCTCTTACACAACGCAAGGTGACATCGCAGACAAGTTGCAAAAGCAGATCTGCCAACATGACATTGTAGTCTAAATAGGGCGCTGGCCTGACAGGCTTATGCCAGCGCGCGAGAACAGCCTATGAGGCATAGGCGCGGCGAGCAACAGTTTTGCCAAAGTTGCCATCAAAATCAAAGAGCCACTTAGACAGTGGAAAAGAGCCAGTTGCAGCCGAAATGGCATGTATGTGAAGTACACTTCCGCAGCTCCAGATTGAAAATCGCAACTTTGCAGTACAAGTCTAGTACGGGAAGTACACTTCCACAGCTCCAGCTCAAAAATCTTTGTAGCGTTTGTAGTACAAGTCTAGCACGCGAAGTACACTTCCGCATCTCCGGCTCGAAAATCGCAACTTTGTAGCACAAGGGTAGTATGCGAAGTACGCTTCCGCATCTCCAGCTCGAAAATCGCAACTTTGTAGCACAAGCCTAGTACGCGAAGTACACTTCCACAGCTCCAGCTCGAAAATCGCAACTTTGTAGTACAACTCTAGTACGCGAAGTACACTTCCGCAACTCCAGCTCGAAACTCGCAACTTTGTAGTACAAGTCTAGGACGGGAAGTACACTTCCACAGCTCCAAGTCTAGCACGCGAAGTACACTTCCGCAGCTCCAGCTCGAAAATCGCAACTTTGAAGTACAAGTCTAGCACGGGAAGTACACTTCCACAGCTCCAGCTCGAAAAGCGCAACTTTGTAGTAGAAGTCTAGTACGCGAAGTACACTTCCGCATCTCCAGGTCGAAAATCGCAACCGTGTAGTGCAAGTCTAGTACGCGAAGTACACTTCCACAGCTCCAGCTCGAAAATCGCCACTTTTTTGTAGAAGTCTAGTACGCGAAGTACACTTCCGCATCTCCAGGTCGAAAATCGCAACTTTGTAGTACAAGTCTAGTACGCGAAGTGCACTTCCGCAGCTCCAGCTCGAAAATCGCAACTTCTCAGTACAAGTGTCGTATTTTTGCGAAGCACACCTTGGCAGCTCCCCGCCTTGATAAAGTGGTCTTCGTAGGCTTTGTCCGTGGCTCATATTGATCTGGGGCTTTGGGGTACTGTGGGGAAATGGGGTGTGGCGTGCGGGGTGCTTGAATCACGAAAACCTGCACCCTCAAAAAGGAACGTCTTTTTGCTTGCTACGTGTTTTTGCTAATTGCATGTTTCGCAGCGATTTCTGCTGATTTAGCCTGATCTTATACATCCACCAGCGTTTCTCGAAGGGCTTTCATGCGGGCACCTTCCAAAATAGGAGTGGGACATGTAGGTTTCCATGACATGGTGCAGGGATGCGCCACAACCCCAAACAAGGTTCAGCTAGGAAATTGCCCCCAATTGTTGCAATCGATGGAGTTGTGCCAAAATTCCATAAATTTGGCCACCAAAATACACGGAAATCGGCGCGAAATACGCGGAAATCGGCGGGAAATACGTGGAAATCGACGGAAAATACACGGAAATCTGCGGAAAGGCAAAAAACACTTTTTAAGACTTGCCTGTGTCGCTGTGAAACTGGGCACCAGTCCTGCTACGTGGCTCTCATGAACAGCTGGTGTGGACTGGGTAGTTTTGATGACTGTCCACAGGTTGAAAGGGTCTAGAGTTCTTGGAATTGATCATGGAATTGATAAGGGCCAAGTAGTGGCTGGCAGGCAACCATGGAGATGTCGAACCGAAATCCGCGCTATTTGGGCAAATAAGCGCTTCTTCCAACAATTCGCGTTTGTGTTGCTTTCAAGGGAAAATGTTGGGCATTGCCGTTTCGAGCAAAAACGTGGGCACTTTTTGGGCATTCGCGTCTTCCGTGGGCACTGTTTTCTGGATTTTCCCGCTTCGAGCAAAAAATAACGCGCATTTCATTCAAAAACGCTCAATTGGAAAGAAAACGCTCAATTGGAAAGTGGTTCTGGTGCGTGTCCGCACATTTCCGCACACTTCCCGCCGATGTCCGCTCATTTCCCGCCGATTTCCGCTCAATTTCCGGGAGACAACTTGCCAAATCATGCCAAATCAAGATTTCCGCTCATGTTTAGTTTTTCTGCTCAACATCTGAATTGAGCAAAAAGAATGCCCAGAGCCCTAAAAAGTGACCAAATGGAAGACCCAGGTATAAGAATGGGGCTGTGGGGTACTTCAACCAAATTACAAATGTGTAATGCTTTAGACTTTATGTCTGCAAACAAACGTCGTTGCCGCCCGAGCTAAAAATCACCACGTGAATACAGAACCATACCAAGGGGAGCCAGGAAAAGATCATGGCCCATAATGGTCCCGTTGTAGGGCTACATTAAATTTCGCGCTCCAACCAGGAGGGTGTGGGCCCAAAACTGGCAGGTCTGCATTTCTCCCACTGAGGAATCTGACGGAGCATGGTGTTCAAAAGACTCTGGTCTTTGCGACTCTCATATTGGGGGGTCCTGTGAAATTTCAGGGTTGTGGGGGGGTACCTTAACTCGGTTGCTTTCTGCTCCCCTGCTAAAAGTGAATAACTTTTAGTGGTTTAATACGGAAAACCAACGAGTTGGCAAAAAGTTAAAGTCCTAACATCCCTTGGCAAAGTGCACCAGAGTTAATTCAAGTTGAGGCATACACATTGGAGCACAATTCGAGTCCAACTCCCTCGCGGTCCAGTTGCCCCTGGCCCCCGCTGAAAGGTGAAGCTTTTCATGGACCACTCAGCTGACACCAGGCTTCGAGATGGACGATGTGTTCAGGTTAGGTGAAAAGCAACGGTCCAAGCTTGTATATGTACGTATACAAAGATGATGCAATTGTAAAGTATCAAACATGCATCTAGCTATATGACAAGCGCATAAATCGATCAAACAGAGACAACTATATCAATCAGGAAAGGGTACCAGAACATAAATGACAGAACTACATAGACTACATATATATCTAAAACATATAATACACAAGCAAAAATATGTGTGTGTGTGTCATTGCCCATACGCTCATTTGGACGCACTCGACCAAAGATCTCCCGCGCCTGGACACTCGGGGACAACTGGCACCGGAAGGCCTTCATGCTGAGCTCCTGAGCGACTGACGAAGCGAAGCGAATGCGATTTTTGCCGCCGTGTCGCTGTGGTTGTCAAAACCGTTTTGGGATCCCATTTTGGGGCTGGTGAATTCACCACCCATTTTAGTCTATAGTGGGGATCGGTTGATGTTCACTGGTTGTACGGGATTTTGACCCATGGCCATGTGGCTGTGGGTAACCCCCAAATGGGTTGGCGGAATGGGTTGCCATGGTTTCTGGGCTGTCCTCAGATCGCCCGCTAAAAGTGACTAGCTTTGAGTGGGTTAAGGGGAAATCCCCACTAAACACTAAGAAGCTAAAAGGCTAAGGGGATGGCAGGGAGCCACCATGGTTTGGTTGCCCCAAAATGGATTTGATTTTCTGGAAATGCTGTGGATAAAAACCTCAAAATGGGTTGCCCTGGAAAGCGGGAAACGCGGATGCTCCATATCCTGGTGGTGACTAATTCTGACCCATACCCATTCATATGGCTCAAAGGTCGTCAAACACGGGGCCCTAATTAATAACCGCACCACGAAATGACACCATGGTTGAAACCAGTATTTGTTGCTATTTGCAGGGGGGATCATCAGAAACCAGGGTGTCTTAGGCGGTGCCGGATTTCGTCCATCCAGTCCATCCGCAGTATCCTGAGTAAATGGCCGAACCAAGGTAACCAAACTTGTTGTTTACACTAAAATCGTCCAAACCCAAAAACTGGCTAAAGTCCGAAGCAGAACTCAGGAAGTGAGTGGCTGCGGTCGTCAAAAATGGGGTAACCCCAAAATGGGTTGCGCGATCGGCAAATCTTTGCCCACGAAAACCATCAAGACCGATCGGTATTGAAATGGCCACCGCGGAACCATGCGCCAAAGTCGTGACATGCTGTGCACAACGAATATGGTGTGGCTCAAAATTAAACAGGAGGGGATACGCAGGTCTTGGTCCATGTTTCCACTTACCAGGGCAACCCATTTTGGTTCCGGTTTTTTGAGCCACAGCCATACTGTATTTGCAGAAAGTGTGCAGCGTTTCTTTCAGCCTCCACCTGCCCAGGCAGCTTGGGAAAAAACAACAACACAGAAACACTGAAAACACAGACACATACACAAACACAAACACGCAAAGGAGAAACAAGCACACACAAGCATTCAAGCCACACACACACACCGACGCTAAAACCAACCAAGACACAACATAAATACGAACACACTCAAACGCAAACAACACTCACAAACACACAGGCGCACACGCAAACACGCATACACGCTCTGTGAGGACTCTGTCTTTCACCACAAAACTCGATATTCTAATTATTTGCATGCCTGGCACACTGAGCAAGCCAAACCTGTTAGTGTTCCCCTCCCAATATGGAAACACGGCATTTGTAAGGGTGCCCCCTTTTCAAGGAACTTGGTAGTTGTCCCTCCAACCAAGTTGCAAAGGGTGGAAAGGCCAAAAACGGGGAAACCGCCGCCCTGAAACAAATTCGCCTCGAAAGAAACTAGAAGCGGCACCTTTGTTTGGTATCAGTAGCTCGTTGATTTCAAACCTCCAAGAAAAGGGTGAAAGCAATCTACCAGAGGTTCTCATCCGTGCCTCAATGTGGCGGTACCACTGACGAATGTAGAAGTGCGCTGAGGCGTGCTTCTGGTTGCCTGGGCTGCCGGCTTGGGTGGCTTCAACAAAAGAAGCCAAAAGTACTTGGAGTAGGTTGCGTGGGGAATTGCAACATCCACCGGGGTTCTGCTTGAGGCAACCCTGCTGATGACGATATCCTGGACCTGTTGTGCTGTCCCGTTCAAAGGGTTGACCCGCGCATCCACAGGCTCTAACAAAGTGCGCAAGAAAAACCGAGTGTATCCCCAAACTTCTCATTTCTTCCCGAAAAACCAGCCACGCCTTGCCCTCCCCGTCTCGGTGAACAACGGGCCCCTTGGGATTCGTCCCAGTACTCGGAATACGGCCTCCGGAGCCCGGCGGTTTGGAGGCGGAGGTTCCAATCCAAACCCACGAAGGGGTTTGATTGCCTGTGGGCGGAACCTCAGGGCCTTCATGGACTCGCCGGTGACCCACAAAAACTGGACGAAGTGGGCATTTATTCGTGGAAAACTGGAAAACTAACCTTTGTGGACGGCTTTACAAAGAAGCCCCAAGGATCACTGAACTCAAATTTGTCCATCACCTGCAAGGAACCGGTATCATCGTTCAGGCTGCTTGACGAATTGTAAGACCGCTATTAATTGGTTCAGAGCCAGTTTCAGGGTTTCTAATTTCAGGTCATATGTTTGATTGTTTTCTGTTGTTTTGCCAGCCCTCAACTTGAGTTGTCTGGACCCACTTGCTTTCACCGGTTCGCGGCTTGTGGCAAAGGTCTTAACTACATATATATATATATGTATTCCCTTTAAACATCACCAAGCAAAAAGGACCACAACCTCAAGCGGTGGTGTGTCCATCCCACAACAAAACGACATATAAGTCTAGAAAACAAGTTGCAGGTCACACCCACAAGAAACACCAACCCAAATCTCCACTGGCCATAGGAACAAAAAGGAGCGTAATAATAGGGATGACATGAGGTACACCCTTCGGAACTAGGGGCTATGGGTGGTTCACCCCATTCCCAGTGGCTCATGTGCTTCCCAAACGGGTTGAAAAAACCCACCGGTCCACCAAAGCAAACCACCAATTGGAGGGAAGCTGACATACTGCCCAAAGAGCGGTGGTTCGGGGCGCCCACTGGTCTGGAGTGAACCCCCTTCCGCTCGAAAAGAACTTCGCCCCAGGCGCCGAGGACACAGGACATCACGCTCAGCGTGAGGTCCATGTCCCCCAAGTCCGGCAGAGGCGGACATGCTGCCAGCTGCCAATCCTCAGCTCTGGAGGGGACAGGTCGAAGGGTTCCAGGGGAGCTCTGAAAGCTTTGGCTCAGGCACCGGTTTTGGGGTGGCTCTGTAGGTTCTGGAAGGGCTCCAGGTCGAGATACAGCTTGGTGCTGGTCCGCAACACGACCCACCGCTGGGCGGTTTTCTGGTGGAAAAGAACATGCCTCCAATGGCCAAATTGTATCCCAAGAGCTTTGTCATACAGTATCCTGGCCAACGTTCATCGTGATTTGATTAGGCACTATGCAAGAGATGATGGGAACATCACATCTCGAACGGGGATAAAACTAACAGATCTAAATCACTGCTTGAGAAAGGACACAAGGGTTATTGAACACATAGGCATACGCAACCCACACCAACCACAATAAAGCATTTCCAAAATCGGACACCTGAATCTCACGAAATCCTTGGTGAGGCCGCAATTATCGTTTGGCAGACGGTTCTTCATGTTGAGAAGTAATACAGACAGGGTGGGGAAATCTACTCCGCATCATTCTTGGATTTCCATTTACTCGGGGCACAACCCCTCAGCAATCTGAGACAGCTTCTTGCAGTGATTTGGCCGAGTCGACTGGCCAACCGAGCCGGGCTGGGCCTTTGTCTCAAAGCTTGTTCACATGCGGTGAAAAATCCAACCGTCAGCCCAGCCGACAAACCGGCCAAGCAACCAACAAAAATCATGGAATCAGATGGGTGTAATTGTTCAGGGGATTTTGCTGTTTGATGTAAAAGGCAAATAATTTAGGCAAACCGACTTTGTCTGTCCCCTTTGGTGGATTCTTGTTGTGCGGCCCACGCCGAGGTGCCCTTGACCAAGCCCCCCTTGATCCCCAAACCAAACGCAGAAACCGAATCGGAGCGGAGGCCTGAGTTCGAGGGCGGCACTGGCACACTGGTTCTTTGAGTGACCTCGATGGGTTCTAACAAACATGGCTCCTTTTTCGGATACAAATGGTTCGTCCTTAGCGACCGGCGCTCGTTTCCTCGGTTAAACCCGGTTGGGGACGATCCAACGATCCAAGACTCCGCGGCGCCCAGCGGCAAGAGCGATGCCCACGCCCAGCGCATGGCGAGTCATGTCACTCGAAACCCGATCTCTTGGCGCGCCGAAACTGGGGTTCCAAGGATCACCGTCCGTTCCAAAGCCCTGGGAATTATACCCATACAAATTGACATCGACACCCAAGAAACCATCATTTGTAGATGACTATTTTCATCATTTGTAGATGACTCTTTTGTTGGAATTCCCATCCAAATTCACATCAACCTGCAAGAAACCATCATTTGTGTATACAGGAAACTTCTGTTGGAATTCCCCAAGAGAGGTTCCATGTTCGCTTGCGGGGGAGGGAACAACAAGTTTGGGATTCCAAGTCAAAGGGACCAAGTCAGGCTTTGGGGGGACATCGGCAGGTTTTTGCCGACTCAGCGGAAGCGACAGCTGGGACGTGGCAAACAGTGCCCAGAAGATCCCAGCTTCCCCTCTAGCAAGTGATCTGCCCTGGCATGGCGTTCCCAACGAATCTGCACAAAGTGCAAGAATGAAACAACTCAAAGATAAACATCTCTGTGGCAAAACAACATTTGTGCTGATCTGTAGATGGGGACATCAGGCTGGGCCCTGCCCTGGTTTAAACTGGTTTCAACTTTGAGTAGCTTCCTTGTGGCTGCCCTTGAAAGGGAGCTTCAGACAACATGCCCAAACCGGTGAACATGATCATAGCCCTTCTTACCACAACTCTGCTTGTCCGGCCAGTTTCGCCGTTTGGCAACTTGTCACTTGCCTCGTCAGTCTTCTGCCAAAAGAGCTGCGGCGCATCAAAACACAAACACAGCTCTCATGATTGGCACAAAGGTGTCAAACCCACTCAGTAAGCAGCTACAACCACGGTTCCAAGAGAATAAATCTCCCCCCGTTTGTATGTCCATAACCGTGCCTGCGGATTGAACACCCAAAGCCAACACCAAAAGTGCAGAACCATCCTGAGCCAACCCAATGGCCATCCTTTTGCTTTCCCTTTAAGCCCTTCAAAGACCCGGTCCTCGCCAACATGAAACCTAAACCAATGCCAGCCTGAAAAGGGTACTCTTAGACAAGCACATACCATGGCTCTGTCTCCCGCAACGTGGCTCAAAGTCTAAGAGGAGCTCCAATCATACCCCCGACTCCTACCTCAGTCGAACAAAACAGGTCGATGCAATCACTTCCCAGTGAGTAGTGAACGCTGGAAGTTCTGTTCGCCGTAATTATGAGTGAATATATAGGGAGTTTTTCTGATTGACAGTTTGCCAAAAAGAAAAGTCGTCCCCAGCAGTGCGGCGTAATGTAAAACAATGCAGCCTGAAAGAAGGAATGCACAGCAAGGTCACGATTCAACTTTCCCATAAGGATACTCAAGCTGGATGCTTGTCGGATGAAACGCAGCCCGGGCCTTTACCTTCCTTCATGTTCCGTGGAAGACGGGATGGCATGCAATTAACAAACAAACTACTGGAGGACGGTCACATAGGATGACAAATCCCGGTACCAGCTGAGGAGCAACTTTAGCATTGGGAAGTCGACTCTTCCAGGCAACCATTGAACAAGGATGAAGGCAACAGAAGTCAACATCTCTGACAGCTGTCTAGAGGTGTTGAACATGGTGTCCGAAGAGTGGAACAATGACATAGATCGCCATCTCCTTGCCTTTTGGGATGAATCAATCAATGGCTTACTTATCACCAACTGAGTCCCCAGGTTCCCTTCGTGCCGTCGCCCACGTGCTGTCCCCCCACCCGGTCCGCCCCCTGCCAAGGAGCATACGCCAAAACAAAGGGACGGCTTGGGAAATATTAAGGCGCGGGAAACCATTAAGTGTTTGCAGGGAAATCATATCATTCCAGGGCTTCTTAGCTGCCACGAAATGGATTTTGTATCCACAGTATCTGCATATGTTCCTATAGTTCCAAAAGCTGGATTTAAGGGATCCCCAAGTAAATTGAACCTTTATCATGGTGAGCTCGCTTTAAACCCCGACTGGTGAGCTCTCCATAAAATTGGCAGACAGTAGATCAATCTAGGTCCGCTCAAAACGCTGCCATAGAAAACTCCGCTGCCTGGCAAAGCTTTGCCATGGCGTTTTCCCTTCCTGCGAATCTGCCGGTATCTGCGATACAGGTTCTACCCATCTCAAAAGCAGTGGTCTTCCTCAGCTTCCTTCTAATTGGTGGTTTGTATTGGTGGTTTGGTGGTGAGGGACGCCCTCTACAAGAACCACAGGTTCAAATCCCCGACCAATCCGAGCCGCCGGTTACCTGACTCCCTTGTGGTTTCCCTTGAAACCAAGCTAGAAAGGGTCGCCTCAAAAAAGCACAACGCCACATATTTGTAGCTCAACTCTAACCCGGGATCTAGCATCCCCTGGCTTCCACTTGCTGAAGTCCACTGGAAAAAAAACGCATTTCCAGTAGCGATAGGTTCCCAAAACCAACCGGGGGCAATACACAAATCTGCTTAAGCCAATGGAAGAAGCATGGAAGACAAATCCAAGATTCGTTCCGATGGAAGCAAGAAAGGCATATGGCCAAAACCGCTCATTTCGCTTGAAGGAGCATTTCGCTTGGACTCGATCTCGGAACTCATCTCTTGGAACACCAACGAAGACCCCAGCGAAATGGATCCCCATGACTTTGCCTCGCGGTCGCCAGCGCGAGGAATACCTCAGCGAGCCAGAGCGTGGCTCAGGTTGCTACCAAATGCGGAGGATCTGAGGCACAACCCTGGGAAAGTGACCGCAACTCCCGGAAGAAAAGAAAAAGGAAGTCACACCAGGTGGTGTTAAGTGAGAAGTCACACCAGGTGGTGTTAAGTCACATTATTCTTGTTGAATGGCGAATCACCTCACAAGTGGTTGGTGGACATGAATCACTCCACCTAAAGAATGTCCCTTTGCTGGAAATTACAAGGATTCATGAACAACAATTCTTGAGGCTGCGCATAGAAATCACATCAGCGAGGGTATTTCACCTTGATTCGGGACCCCAGTTCTGACTTTCGGACCCCTAAAGTCAAGACAAGGAGCCCAAATAACATTAAAACAACAGAATAACTAGAAAGGGACTATGAGTGCCTTATCAAACTCGGTCATCAAAGGAGACATATATATATATATATATTATGTAATGATTCAGACCCTCAAACGGGTTACCTCCAAGGAGAATCAAACGCACAAAGGGCTAAAACGTCCGTGAAGTCTGGCAATGCACAGGGAAAGGTCAAAAGAATGGGCCAAGTGCTAAAAGGCCCTAAATCATGAGAATGGGTCTGTGGGGTACCTTTCCTTACGATTGAGTCGCGACTGTTTACAAGCAAACTGAGAATTATAGAGCGCCTCGTGCCGGAGCTTGTCTCAAAAAAGGGACTCACATCAAGTAGTCATCTTGCCTGGCCCCAGATGCCCTCCTTAAAGTTCCACTTTTCGCGAGTCACATGGACACCCCCCACTAAACCCGAAAAACTAACAAACTCCTGAAGGGACCGGATGGCTGGGAACCACAAACCGTTGCCTTGTGGGCTTTGGCTCCAACGGATTTGCCCCGATCCGAGCTGCGAAGATCGCCGGCATCAGCAGCTGCGACGCCCAGGCGCGGCGGTCCCTGCCTGAAACGCGTGCGATTGGTGGCGGCTTCGCCAAAGCCCGAAAGGATCACGCCATGCCTCTAGCAGCGCCTTCTCCATTCTTTCCAGGGATCCGAATCTTTCTAGAAAACCTGCGGACACTGCGGGAAAATAGTTGGTTTTTGAAAAGAACGATGGTTGAAAGGAATGGGGAATCAACCCCTAGAATGCCCCCTGCAGGGGCAACGAAATGAGAGTACAAAAGAACAACCAAGGGGTATAAGGAACTGCGTGCAAATAAAAGCGGGTATATACATAATATTAGCACACGCCCTAAGTAAGGTTTTAGTGCCATGTTTCCGCTTCGGGGTGTGGGCTGGGGGTTTGTACAATCCTTAAAAGGAGGGTGTCAGAAAGATGAGAATTGGACACCTCCAAACAGTTCTACAGACTTCCTCAGGTCCAGATTTAAATATGCAAGCTATGGCTGCTCCAAAATACCAAATTTGGGGAGGCATCGCCATGGTTGGAGGGACCCCGGACTAAGAACACGAACCTCTTTTTTTTGGGGGGTGGCCGGCTTAAAAGGGACCCAAATCATTTGTCGGGAACTAAGCCAGCCATGGACTCAAGCAACCTAGAGTGAGGATGCAGTGGTCAGGCATCTGCAATTGCTCCAACAAATTCCAAACCAAAATAAGGATTCCCAAGTAAACGACCTACATTGTGGGCTTTCGCTGGTTCTAGCAGAAGTGAGCTCTTAAACAGAAGCATGTCAAACAGGGTGGTTCGCCCATCCTTCATGCGATGCTCCCAGGCTCCCAGGGTCCCAGGGCCCCTGGCGCACAGACAGCGCGCGCTTCCGGAAGAGTGCGTCAAACCTGGGGCTGGAAAGCCCACGGAGCTGTCCCTTTGACACATCCCATGCCTTTGGTTTCAATGTGGATGGACGAAAGTTGCGAAATCCGTTCGCACCACGAAATAAAACCATGGCTGAAACCATTCTTTGTTGGTATTTACATTGGAATCATCAGAAACCAGGGTTTCTTAGGTGCGAAATGTATTTCGCAAACATCCACAGTAGTAGCTCGCTAAAAATTGCGATGTTTGGATAGGGGCCCCGCAAAAATGGTTGGCAAACAGAAAGCCCAGTGTAAACTATGCCCACAACACGTCTTATATTAAAACAACTCACATATCAAAGCAGAGCATCGAGGTTGCAAACAACAGGGATCCTTACATTATACACCTGATCATTGCCTTGTAAATGGTGGTTTCCCTGTATTTTGGTGGAAAACAACATGTTTCAAATGGTTGCAAAATGTATCTTTTAAGGAGCCCTGAAACAAGCTAAGCCGTTGGTGTCCGAAGCCAACAGCTCCCCGATGTTCCAGCTACGCAGAGTCACACTAAACCAGCCAACGCTTGCGAACGGCGTGAGAGTTTAAAATGCTGGCTTCTGGCGAATTACTCGCGACCTGAGCGCTCCTCTTCGGGATCCCAAAATTCGCCGCCCAGCAATTCCAATGTG